TGCCATGTACCCAGCAAGCTGGCTGTGGTTTTGCCCATTCTCCTTCTGTAGTTACCATCTCAGGGTGAATTATGGTATCTAGAAGAGTCGGGATTGTTTGCCCAAACAGCGATGCCTGCACAATCAATGGTGGATCAACTTTTTTGCAGGAACGGCTGATCATATTCCATGAATCCACATTCCTTCTGGAAGTGCCCAGGTTGCCCACATGTAAAACAGAGTCCTTTGCCCACATGTAAAACAGAGTCCTTTGCTGGGGCTGGTCCGTTTCTGACTTTTGAGTTCCCAGCCCATTTCTCCAGCCTCCTTCATCATCCCCCACTCCCCTTTCCTCCCTCGTTGAGTCTGCCCTCTCACCTCTCTGTGGACTAATGGTGCCCTAGACATTGGGCCCCCAATTGGGGTAGCCTCCAGTCCAAGCATACCCCATTCCAGAATTGTTTTGCCCCTTCCGTCTATCCTCCTTGTCTCTATAGTCCCCTTCTTAGATTTCTCTGTAAGAGTCACAGGGCTGCACTCTTCCGCCATTGGGTAGGCTGACTCTGCTGCCCAGTAGTCATCTAACATCTGTGCCAACTCTTCCAAGGACTCAGGATTCTGTCAACACCTTATCCACCTTATCCAAGAGGGCCTCTATTTGCGGTCCCATCAGTTTCAACCACTTCCTGGCCAGCTCCTTGAGGGCATAGGCCATCTTGAAGGAGCTCTCCCCTTTCACCCAGTGGTATGCTTTAAACCACTGCCAGTAGGTTTCCTTTGTTATGTGCAACTTTCTGAAAATGGCTTTTTTCACTTTCTCCTAGTCAGCAACATCGGCTGCATTTAAGGCCTGATAGAGCACTAGAGCTGGTCCCATTAAGAAAAGGCCCAGAATTGCAGCCCTTTTTGCCTCAGCCAGGCAGCCACTGTGGCTGTTCTCTCATAGGCCTCATCAGGTAGGGCCATTTTGGCAACACTAAAGAACCCCCTTTAGCCTGCAGTGCCACCTGGCAGTATGGGCAGTTCTTATACCAACTGATCCTAGGCAGCTTGTTTCTCATCCATAAGGTGGACTATCACTTCACCTTGTGCACTGGCCAACCACTCTCCAAATGCATCAAGTTCACTGTGGTGGTGGCTGGTGCATGAGGCCCTGGGTTTGACATTTTGTTACTTCCATGTGGCTGTCTCATACCCCAGACAAGCCGCACTTGTCACCCTCCAAGGGCCTCTGACCAGGTGCCCAGCCCTGACGCTAGAGCTGGGTCCCACCATTTCTTCCTTGGCCCTTTCAGTCAGGGCCTCTGCCCCATGTTAAGCTTCCTCACCTCCTACTCCCATCTCCGTTTTCCCTTTGGGTTTCATCAGTCTCTAGAGACTGCTGAGGGCTGGCTCTTCCATCTACAACTCACTGGTGCCGGGTTGCCCTCCTCCTGGCAATGGGGATGCTCCAGGTCCATCCCCTCTCCTGGCCCCACTGCCTCTTGGTCATGAAGCCAACTTGCCTCGAGTTCCCAAGCACACTCTAGCTGTTCCTCCATCTGTCACTTGCTGCCTCTATACTGCCCGGCTCCAGGCTCTACTACCAAGATCTCTGCCAGTCACATGCTTGCCACTGTCCTCAGCCCTGTGCAACATTCCCAGGCTTCCCTTTACCAGTGTGCTGCAGCTTCTGAATACCCACACCCCTCTAGGCTCTCCCCCCTTCCTGGCTTGCTGCTGGACTTCAAAAGCCGTTGCAAACAGATCTGGCTCCGTCCCCCACACACACACATGCACCCTGGTGGCATTGTGCTACTTCCTGCTCTGCTGTGTTTCCATCCAGCTGAACTATTAAGAATGCAGCTAGTCTGGGAAGCGGCCTGTCATGGGAATGCAGGCAGAGCAGGGCAACAGTGCCAGATCACAGTCAAGAGTCCAGTCCAGTGATCAAATACCAGTTCAGCAGCAGACAGAGTTCATGGGTTGTCCAGGAAAACAGTCAAGTCAGTCTGAGATTGTTGATCAGCAAGGTTCAAGCAAGTCCAAAAAGTAGAATCATGGGTCAGTCTGAAAGATGCAAGTTGCAAGGCAGAGTCCAGTGTTGTGGTTGTGGTTGTCCAGTTTGGTGTAGTGGTTAGGAGTGCAGACTCTAATCTGGGAGAACTGGGTTTGGTTCCCCACTCCTCCACATGTAGCTGCTGGTGTGACCTTGGGTCAGTTACAAGTTCTTTCAGAGCTTGTCATGATCTGGGCTGTGCCACCAGAGGCCTACTAGGCCCAGGGAGCCTGGCTAGCAGTAAGGGAGGCTGGGCCTACAAACCCCAGAAGGCCTTAGGAAGTTTTGGCGCTGATTTTAACCAGTAGGGAAGAAGAGGGTTGGGGAATATAGGAACTGGTACAAGAGGGAAAGCTGTTCTTCTTCCCAGGGAACAGAGCCAGAAGGGACTGAGGCTGCTGTGGGGAAGAAACCCTCATCCTGAGGGAAGGGTGAGTAGTCTAAGGCCACTTGATAGTGAGCTAGGGGCGGTATACATTTAGACGTGTTAGGACATTTGATTTCTTTTCTTTTCACTCACTTCCTGTTATTATTCTGCACCTTGTTTGTTTGACCTCCTATAAAATAAACTATTTCCATGTTCACTCTGCCTGGTCCTCACATCCATTATTCGGCCAAAGGGGAGGTCTAAAGGCCTGGGAGGGTGCTCTGGGCCTTCTCAGAAAAGCCTGGAACCAGAGTGGTGGCAGCATCAGGTGACACCCCACCTGAGCTGTGACAGAGCTGTTTATACAATAAGAACTTGAAAGAGCTCTCTCAGCCCCACCTACCTCAAAGGGTGTCTGTTGTGGGGAGGGGAAGGGAAAGGAGATTGTAAGCCACTCTGAGACTCCTTAGGGTAGTGAAGGACAGGGTATACATCCAGTCTCTCCTTTTACACCGCAAATCTCCTTGTTAGCCGAATTGTTTTATTTACAGCAATTGGCAATTTATAAATGGGTCCTTACCAACTATACCAAGGTCCTGTTCCCACCAAGGGTTACCAGAGAAGGATAACGAGGCTGTTGTTGTTAAAATAAATGTCTTTTACTTAAAGACTAAATCTCATACAAACAATACTGATGCACTCACACATTCAATCAAGTTCCTTAGAAATACAGTATTAAAACAAGCACAAATGCATTAGCAGGTGGGGGTGATGATGGGCAATACTTATCTGTCTTCGCAGCTTTGGTTGTTCCAATGAAGAATGGATGGGAAGAAATGGAAACTAAGGACCAGAACCAGCCAGAATGTGTGGGTCTCTTGACTGCAGATCAAGAGATCAAAGTAGAGGCAAGGGTTTGGGGATAGCAAGTGGGACTTAAGAGGAGTAAAAAGCAGACAGGGGTTGTTGCGGGGGTTGCTAGCTAGGAAGGGTCAGGTGAATGGTCCTTACCTTTTATAGGGGATCCATTAGGTGGGAGGTAACTTTTCCAACCTGTGGACCCACCTACCTGTTAGTCCATCCCAAAAACAATCCTATTGGTTGCCTATAGGAGTGGGAGGTTACTTATAAGGAGTGGCCAATATTGTAATCTAAAACCTTATTCAAAGGTCTGAAAACCTTGGTGTCAGGATGCTCCATTGTAGTGTAGATGAAGCTAGCTATTCTCATTGTGAACCAAATGTCCATTTGGCAGGAAATACCAATGCAGGAACAAAGCAGTAATGTGTCATACGTGACCACAAATAATTCTGCAATGGGGGCTGTCTCTGCTCAAAGCTGTTGTTTCTTACTGCTCATAATAACGGAGGTGTGTGCTTCTTCACCAGGCTGGTAACTGTGTAGCTAAAACCTTATTTACACGTGTAAGGCTTGTGCAGGCACCTTCTATGTGTTGCATCACAACAGGTGACTTAAAGTGTACAGTCTTCTGAGCCTGTGTGTGTGTGTGTGCACAATCCATTGTGTGTAGCAATAAATATAGTCCATAAAGCAAAATATCAAGTTCATTCTCTAACATCCTGGTCTGATTTATATAGGTCTAACAAGCCCTATTTACAGTCATCTGCTTGGAAATGTTCTGCAGGTACTCAGAGCTGTCACCAGCAAACAGCAAACAACTGGTTCATGGCTTGCTGCATGTAGCTCTCCGACTCCTGCAGAGTCTCCAGCCTCGCTAGACTCAGGCTGACCCACAACTTTATATACCAGATTAAAATACGATCCATTTTATGTTGTTGAAGCAGTAATATAAGTTTAGGCTTCACAAGAAGATATTGAATATACTGTAACTTTTACCAACACTTCCAGAGAGTAGAGTCAGGGGGAAAAAGAAAAATAGGAAACACACAATATTTTCTACTGGCTTTCGAGTCATCGAATCTGGACTGCCCCCAACATTTGGGCTACAATAATCCTCAGAACCCTTCTTCTCTATTTTAAATACCATTTCACTACAGAAGTGTGGAATAGAATGCAAACACATAAGAGCAAATAATACCTTCCTCTTAAGAAAATAAGAAGAGCCCTGCTTGATCAGATCAGTTGTCCATCTAGTCCAGCATACTGACTCACACAGTGGCCACCCAGTTCCTTTAGATGGTCAACAACAGTGCAGAGAGGCCAAGGCTTTCCCCTGATATTGCCTCCTGGCTTTGGGATTCAGAGGCTTAGTGCCCTTAGTTCCCCTCAGTCACCATGGATAGTAGACATTGATAGACTTAGGTCATGGTCACACTGTCATTTTGATCGGGTTTCACCACTGTTCCCTACAGCATTTAAAAGGGCTGATCAAATGTCTGCATTTGTCTCCTGTATCAAAGCAGACTCACCCCTGCAATCTTCCCGGTTTCCAAGAGATTTTTCCAACACTGGGAAAATCAAGTACTGTCCGAATATTTGTGCCACGAATCTGCAATTTTGCCAATTTGGAAAGCCATCTCTTGCTATGAATGTGATTAGGTCATCTGAATGTCATTCTCACACCGATTTTTTTTCTAGCTTCCACCATTGTGTGCAGGTGCTAAATATATAAAATGCATGAATGTTCAAGCACACATATATAGACTCCAGTGCTCAGTTGTACGTCAGTGGTTCATTTTGTTCGCAGTTTGGGGGGGGCACTGCAAAAACAAGAAAGTACAGCATGCCCAAGTGGAAGCTGTGATTTGGCCATGCGCATATGCACATGCACAATGAAAAGTTTTTTTTAAAAGTGATGTGATGCCGCTTGGGTGGCGTGGCTATCTGGACAGTGCCTGGAGCCTCGTTGCGTGATATAAGCGGTTTCCAGAGGGACATGTGATCTTCCCAAACCGCAAAAAAATATCCCTGATCAAATATGCAGCAGGAACAAATTGCAGTAGGTTGCCGTATAACCACATCCTTATTCTCCATGAATCTATCTAATCTCTTCTGCATAGGTGAATTATAAAGTTAATTCTTTACATACCTATGGTGCATCCTTGAGAATGACCAACATAATAGATTTTTTCCTGTCCACTTTTTTTCAAAATAAAGTCTGTCATGGCTGAAAGATCAAAAATGCCCATTTCATGAAAACTGAAAATGAGAATACGCATTGGTTAATATTAACTGCATTCATAAACCTTTGTTCAGCACTATGCCCATCTCTAGTAATAAGTAGGAATGTACAATAAATTTTCCAATGTGTCCATTCAATTCTAACAATATTGTTTCCAATGGGTTCTTTTAAGCAACATGACAGATCTTTGACTACTGAACACGAAACCCTTTTGTGATGTTTAAAAATGGTTTATTCTATTAACTCATGTATAACTAGTTACTAACAAGTGTCTTAAATATATTCCTTTTTGTCCATTTCCATCCTTTTTTAGAGTACTGGGTTCTGGTCCCCTATGGATCTTTGTGTGTTTGTGGTAATGGTCAATTTTGTTTGCCTTCCCTCAGAGACCAATATTCAGACCAAAAGTCTCTCAGGGTGATCTGTAACAGCAATTTTATAATAATCTGTACTACTTCATGGTTATTATATGGCGTATACATTGGCTTCGTAATGCAAATAACTTTATTTGGCCTTTGGAGGTTTCCACTAACAGATATTATATTATACAATGACATAAATTATATTAGACAATCTGACTTCCTTATGACAATTTAGTAGCAATGCCCAATGAAGGTCCTTTACCTATCATCTGCACTGAGATTCTTCTTCTTTTGTAAACAATCATCTGCTCTGTTTCTTGAGCTGCCATTTTACAATGCAAATTTGTTGGTGGAAGAGAAATATCTCAGCTGTCAATCACACACATTCTATAACCACTAAATAAAACAAGAACATATTGATAATTTTTTTTAAAAAAATTGATGCCTGCTTGAGAAATAGACGTCTTCTTAAAACTGGCACAGAAATATTCATTCGAAGTTGGGAGGGGAGTCTCACTCTGCATGCAATGATATCTCAGATTTCATTGGGGGGGGATTCTTTAAATCCCTACTGATGTACAAAGTGGAGATTAACATCTTAAAACAGATTGTTTAAAAACAGACAATTGTCATGCTATCATAAAATAACCAACTGAATTCAAATTTTGGAAAAAGAACTCAGGGAGGAATAAAGCAGGGCTCCCTGGACATTAAAAAAATATATATCACAAAATAATTGAAAATGAACGGCTTCCCGTGTCCTTAGTGAGCATATTCAGCAAACCAAAAAGACTACATAAGATGTCTTCAAATAGCAAAAAATACCAAGGAAGGAGAAAGCTGTTTACTGGAACCACCTTGTTTAAATCTACAGCAAAACAGATCAAGAGACTGCAGCCATGAGCCATGTAAATGGGAAATTATATCTTCACAGCAAAGATTTATCTGGAACAGTAATATTTTAGGCTACAGGTGCGATGATAATGATATGGTTCTAGGATTGGATGTTCCATCCCAAATTAGAATCCAGCTAGGGATGTGTATACTGACATGCCTCTGCCAAAAATGTCTTTTGGGGTCATTCTTTGTATTTACACAATGGAAAATGGAATTATGGAACTTTCCAGAATTACCACAAAAAAAGTGGAATGGGGGACATTTCTGGGGTCTGAAGAAGGCGGTTTTAGAGCTAATGACACCAAATTAGCTAGGAACCAATTCTGCATTCTTCTCTAAAGACCCCAAAGTTTGAAAGGGATTGAATGAAGGGGTTCAGCTGTATGTATGTGTGCCCAACCATCTGGTTTCCATTCTTTCCTATTGGGTAAATATGGGATCTTTCTGGGAGTCTGGAGTGGGTGTTTGTAGAGCAAATAGAACCATAATTGCAGAGTACTACGTCCCCTCTCCCAAAGACTCCGAAGGTTTAAGGGAGTCCCGTTTTATGGTGTTGGACTCATGCTGCAGTCAAGTCTAGTTTGATGCTGAATCTCTGAGAAAACCATTAAATTTAAATGGGGCAAAAAACCCTAGATAAATACTTTGGTTAAAGAGGGACATCTGATAATTAACTAACTGGGAAAAAGGGTACTTGTTTAGAATGTTTGTAATGATAAGCAGTCAAGTATTAGAGGTTAAATTTCCTTTTTGTGAAATACACTATTATAAATTGAGGGTTTGTCAGTGCTGGCTATGCACCGAATAAAGACTGACTGAGGGTTTATCTAATTGTGTTTTGGGTATATCTTGATATTTTGTAAACACAACATATGGATTTAATAGTTACAGACTATGTCTCCATTAACCTTAAAACAGCAAATAAATATCAACATAGGTAAAGATTTTTAATTTGGTTTAAACATGACACCACAAATCGTACAGAGAATATGCCAAGGAAAGGAAATGAGGAGGGCAAGGGGAGCAAGAGGCAAAACTACCCTATTTCTCATGACCTCCATGAAGGCAAACATGTGACCCACGGAGAATTTTATGAGAGTAAGTAGTCCTCTGGTCCCAACTAGATCAGAACAGAATGCGAGATGTATGCCTTGCTTCATGTGTGAGTCCCCAAGATGTTCTGAGATGTCAAGGAGGCCAGAGCTATTCCTTCCTACAGGGCCTCATGATGGATGTAGTGATCACCATGTAACAAACATTTCAGCCACCTCAACACTAGATCTGAGACCACCTCTAAAAGCTCGAGGAGGAAGATGGTTGGGCAGCAATTTGAATGCCACATTTCAGTCATTTCACACCAAATTTACTTACCTGAAATCCCAAAATTCCTGTTGATCAATTGTAAGGAATTGGTGTCTTCTAGACCAGGAGTTGCCTCTACTATTTCCAATCCACACATCATATCCAGCATCTGCTAGCATGAATCCCAAGCTATTATTGGGCAGATTTGCTACCCAAACGCTGCCCTCCAAAAGCAGGCCATGCATCAGCAGTATAGCTCCCTTTGATCCTGAAAATACAAAAGAGTCATGAAGCTAAAACTTCTGTGATGTGGCACATAAAATTAAAATGCCCATAACATGGTTAGATATAAGGTAGAAAGCTCGAAATCCAAGTTCAGCTAGAAAACTCAAGGTAGAACCAATGCATAGAAACAAAACCTGACAACTCTTTTTTTAAATTAATTAAACCAAGCTTCTGGAACATGAGACATTTGAAACTGAGAAGTGGTATGTTTGTACATGTGTGCTGACTCCAAAAAGTCTACAATCCAAAACATCCCTGCTGTTAATCCCCACACACGGGGTTTCTGATAAATCTTTATCCTATTGAATGTAACAATATGTAGCTCATGATGAACTGCAGCAGGCCTATATTTGGGAAATTCCATACTCTGCCCCTAAAGCATCATTTCCAGGATGCTAGATCTTAAAAGCCTTGAGAAGGCCAAATTCTGTTTCTTCCTCTGTGGCTTTTTCTCCTGGTCAACTAACACTCAACTGCCCTCAATAATCAGTGGCCACTGAGCATGCTCAAGCTGTTTGACCTTCTTTTTGAATTTACAATTAATGCTTTCCTGACCATGCATGCGGGTAAGCCCATTTCACTGGTTAAGCCCATCATTTACATATTTATGAAAGCATTTGTGTTTCACTTATCCTGCCTTTCCCTGTGGCTCAAGGCAGACAGTACATAATTAAAACCATCAAACCACAGTCTGAACTGAACAGAACTGCTGTCAGTTCTAGCCCGCGCTGGTGTGAGCTACCAGCCGTGTCCCCAGCTCGCCGTCCACCCAGCGGTTCGAAAGCTTCGGCGAGTAGATAAAATGGTACCACTCCTTAGAGAGGGTGGGCACACTAGCCCCCGCCCCTGGTGGGGGGAGGTGTTAGCCGGCGAAACGGAATGTCCAGCTCATAAGCTCGGAAGCCTGGAAAGATCTCTTCAGCATTAAGAAGCCTGCGATGGGCCAATCCGGCCAGGCGGTGGCAGTGCAACGCTGCGACTCGAAGCAGTCCTGGAAAAACTGACGTCATCAAGGAGTCACTAAGGTTAAAACCAATTACGGCAAATAAGCTTAACAGAGAAGGAAAGAAAAACAGTATAAAACATGGTCAGACACTATATAGTCTCTCTCTCTCTCTCTCTCTCACAAAAACCTGTTGGCTGCAAATGTGTGCGACTTAAACTATTTATATGTTGTCCTCCCTTACCCCCTATGAATCATTGTTAGTCCCTTGTTAACATGTGTAACTGTAAATCGCTCAGAGCCAGCAGCTCTACAGGATTGAGCGATTAATAAATCAAAAGACATATTATTATTATTATTATTATTATTATTATTATTATTATTA